GAAACAAAACCAACAAATTTTCTTGTAGCCACTTAGTAATATTAGTAGGCAAGTCACAGCCCTGAGTTGTTAAGTTCAGAACTGTAAATGTGCAGATGCTGAAATCTGTCTGGGAGTTTTTGGACTCTGACCAAGTGGGTATTTTACCAAAGTAGGTCATTGGGACACTGACAGATTTCTCTTGCCCTTCCCCAGCCTTTATTGAGCTAACAGGGCTGCTGGCTGATGTCCAGACCTCTGAAATTACTCTCTCACTTTATCTGTCTGCAGCTGTTGTCTCGGGGAAAATTTATCACATGTACGCTGTAGGACGAACATTGAATATATATTTTCTGCTGACAGCAGGTTGTCAATTACAGTTGTGAGTCTCCAAAGGGGTTTCCAAGGTCTCTCACAAGGGTGTCTGTCTTCCCCACACAACCTTAGCAAGCCAGAAGGAATTATGCTCAATTAGTTTCAAGAAGTGTCCCGCTCGATATGTTCTTTGGGCCAAATGAGTCCATTTTACTTGCTGTGTGACTGGCTGTTCCTTAAGCAATTACCAAGTGTCTTTAAGGTCTCATTCATGTATTACTCCGAGTGTACCCCCTAAAAGAGTACCAAGTCAAAAACTAAACGGCTGTATGAACGCGTGTTTTTATTGGTGAGAATTTTCCCTTTAGCCATCCCAACTGATGTAAAACGTCAAAGCGGTGAAAGCTTGTTTGTAACTGATGAAATTAGGACGTAATTGTCGGCAGCCGCGCGCTAGGTCGGACGTGCACAGTCCATTGTTGTGAGTTGTGCGGTCGTAGGTTTGCAGCGCGGGAGGGCCTCTTGCGGACAGCTGCTAAGTGCAGTTTGTGATTCCCATAAAAGGGGATCGTGTGTATAGAAGTCGTTGGCCATTTTTTTATGAGACGTAGAGTAAGTGTGCTCAACATAGCATGACAGATATCAATTGATTTAATGTAGGATCATAGGGAACACGGTCTCGTAAGTCACTCATTAATGCATGGTTTCTAATGTATGGAAAAAACTCATGAATGAGACCTTAAGTAATCTATCGATCTGTCGGATGTAGGACAGGCTTGTCTAAGGGGATCAAGGGACACCTAAACTATTTCAAGGTGACTTAGGCCACACCAATTTAATTTCTTGGTTAACGGATTTTTCTAGAAAAATAAGGGAGCGGGCGGGCGGGCGAAAAAAAAATAAAAATGAATGCCTAGGCATCCTATTATGGCCCAAAATGGTACGATAGGAGCCATGAAGTCAACACACCAGGCTGGTTCAAAATTCAAACAATGAATTTTGAACTTTTAATGAACTTTTACCACTGCATTGAAAGATGGAATAACTAATGACTAGGAAGAAAAGGACTGTTTTCAACTGTTCAGGGCAAAATATTTTGCAGTTGATTCTGAATTTTTTTTTTTGCAAATCAGAAAAAAAATGAAGCAGTCGAATCCGTTAACCAAGAAATTGAATTGGTGTGACCTTAGGCTTCTATGTTAGTTATAGGATAAGCCTTATTTCTTGGATCACCGAGGAACAGATATAGCGGTTGAGACAGATAACCACAACCGAGGAATCAAACCTTACAATCAGTGGACTGCTCAGAGCTCACTTTTATCATCAAACTTCTCCATACATCTTCCTGAAACATCAGAAAGAAAAAACTCATTTGTTCTGTTTGATAACAATGAAGAACACATAGCCCTTTTTCCTATGATCATAAGGCAGCCAATGCAATTTCAGGGAACCAAAAGAAAAAAATATTCTGGATGAGGAAATCTGTCTGATGTTGACATTCGCTGCCAATATAAGCTCATTTTCATCATTTATACTAAGTTTTGAGGCATATGAAATAGCCCCAAAACAAGCTATGCGAGAGGTCTCTTTATGTTTAGGGTACCACCCATAACTAGCTAGAACCAGCCGACAATACAAAACAAGCATATGGGATAGGATTGATTCAACTCACTACATTAAAAGAAAGACCAGAAGATTAGTTTGAAAATCCGGTTTTGTCGGCCTGAAATTGCATTGGATGGCTTTAACTGTAGTCTCACTGATGAGCAAATGCATTTTTTTTCTAATTCTGTATATGAACAGCATTTTGCTCAGTCTGTGCAGTTGTAGGCTGATGTCATCGCAGGTGGTTCCTAATCCATCCACACATCTCCATATAAGGGAGAAAGTCACGAGAAACCACCCTCACCCATTCTTCAAATAAGGCCATGCCAACACCTCAAGAGAAATTCCATCAAGTTCCCTGTGTGAAACTATCCCTCTGTCCTTAGTGCCAAATTGCGGAAATCCTGATGTGACTGAGATAAATCTGTCAGGTCAAGTTCACAACTGCCTCGCATCTATCTCTGGAACTTTCCTCCCGGTACCGCCACCCAACATCTGTCTGTTAGATCTGAAGCCCTACCGCTGGCACCAACTGTCTTCTCCGCAGCTTCCTCCGTCTGACAACCAGCAGTCCGCATTAGGTCGTGGTCGGGACGATAGAGAATGGCGCAATTTAAAAACGGGGAAAACAGGTGCCGTTTTGCATGCATGGGAAAGCTGACATGTCCCAGACACATCCATCAGTGGTTATACCCCTTTGCTGCAGGACCATTACTAGAAAGTCAGCTTCACTTTGTGCATACCAAGTATCACCTTACCCTGGCCCGGACCCAAGTTTCCTGCCAGCTTCTCTATACATATCAATACTTCCTGGCTGTCATATATCTCTGCATGCAAATACGCCAGACATCCATAACTGTTCCAGCCTCAAAAGTCTATTAAATTTAATTTTCTATTAAAAAAAAATGAGCTACCTGCAGTATGTAAAATTCCACTGTGCACATTCGTAGCTTTTTAACTTTCATTTCTCTATACATATCAATACTTTTTGGGTTTCATATATCTCTGCATGAAAATATGCCAGATATCCATAACTGTTTCAGCCTCAAAAGTGTATTAGATTTAATTTTCTATAAAAAAATTGAGCTACCTGCAGTATGTAAAATTCCACTGTGCACATTCATAACTTTGTAAATTTAAGTTTTCTATAGATATTAATACTTTCCGGGTTTCATATATCTATGCATGCTAATACGCCAGACATACATAACTATTCCAGCCTCAAAAGTCTACAAATTCTTCTTACATTAATTTTCCGCATGAAGTACTTGTAGTATGATGTAAAATTCCACTGTGCACATTCATAACTTTATAACTTTCAGTTACTAGTACACGATTGCATATACATGTAAACTATGATGATGATGATGATTTTTATAGATCTTGTATCTTTTATCACCCATATATCCTATACTCTTGCATAAACTCAGTTTAGGCATGAGGAAAAATGTTGCGTTTCCTGTTTCAGTCCTGAAAAAATTAGAGTCAGTAGGTAGTGATTATCTTTTTGTTTCCTTTTTTTAGACTTCAGTGATATCTATATAGGGTTCCAACTTATACAATACAGTTAAACAATTTGAAAGTAAAACCAAGTGTGAGGATACTTTAATTTATTTTCAATGTGAATGTTAATGTTAGAAAACCAATTGTACAACTACAACGTTTTATCTCTTAGGTGTCAAATCATGGAGCTAGAAAAGGTTGATCAGCTCCAAAAATTAAACTATTCATATTCCTTGCAGGGGTTCACCCCCCAAAAAAGGCAAGGGTCGGCAGGTTTTTCTAGGGTCGGTCAGGAAACAGGAAACACAACATTTTTTTTCCTAGGCCTTAGTATATATCCCTGTCACATTTTCTCAAAGCTATTGAACTTAAATGCACGGGTGAAAAATGCCTCCAGACGGCAAGTTGAGCCAAACTGCCACTGTGCATCAATAATGCAGGGAAGAAGTACTCTCAGGAGGAAGAGTTGGGCCAAGAAGTCATCTTATTGATGACACCAGAAGACAACATTAATCAGGCTTTAAATCTCTTAGCTGGTCCCGGAATATTCATACGCGGGCTTTTAGTACAGGTCTGAGTCCGTGAGAGCTTTTACTGTCGGCAATTAACCCAGTTTGTTCATCAGATTATCGTTGTTCTTTTAATGTTGTGCAGAATTCAGGATTAAAGCATATTCTGCATTAAGCAGAATTATGCATGTTTTTTTCATGACATCACAATCCTCGAGGCAGATGTCTTATTGTTGTGCACAAGGAATCTGGTCATAGAAAAAATTATACATGTTTTCAATTCATACATTTTAGCAATATAGACACAACTATGCATCTGCAGGAGGTACCGGTAATACGAAGATTTGTAAAAGTTATCCAAACTGCTGTACTGATATCTTTAATGATCACAAAGTACAGAGAGACAAAGTATCTCTATGTGTGGGCTGTTTGGGAAAACAATAAATGAAGTGCAGCAAAAACTAACAGGTGGTTTGAAAAGCCTTTTATGTGAAGTTTCATCTGCAGAGAATAGACACAATGACACTGTGTGTGGATGATGAAGCAGGTTTGAGTGGACTCCTCTCTCTCTGCTGGCAATGTGTTTAATGATCAGTTTAATACGTGTGATTAGCCTCATTCGCAGACTTTGGGGTACTCTCCAAGCAGAGGTTTGGGTTTAGGGTTATTTTTGGCGTGTTTTTAGGCTTTATCAGGGTTTCTCTTTTGCACTGGAATTTTTTTCTCACCCAACCCAAAAAAAATTCCATTGCAAAAGAGAAACCCCGATAAAAAAAATAACCCCAAACCTCTGCTTGGAGAGTAACTTCGGGGAGCCAAGCAACTTATGCTAAAGGGGGAGTTTTGCCACGGAGAAAGTTGGCAGCATAACTCGTGTCGCTCCCCCAAAAAAAGTTTGCAAAGGAGGCTAATGTGTGATAAGCCAGGTGTGATCTAAGTCCTTTGCTGCCAGAATTTGATCCTACAGTACACTTGGCAAGGTGACCTATGTTTCGCTTTTGACCTTCAAGTTTGGCCCTCTAGTTGCTGTAACCACCTGTGAACTGTTTGCAATTACCCAGAGTTCACCTGTGGCCTCTGTTCTTGCAGCGTACCGTGAGCGCCAGCGCACCATGTCCATGAACCAGATGGCGCAGGCCCCGCCCCTGCCGCCACGACAACAGTCGCTGCCCAACCGTCAACAACGGTACTTCCGCATCCCGTTTATACGCCCGGCGGACCAGTACAAGGACAACCAGAACAGGAAGAAGGGGTACTGGTACGCACACTTCGACGGGCAGTGGATCGCTCGCCAGATGGAGTTACACCCGGACAAAGTTCCTGTCATCCTTGTTGCTGGTGAGGAAATTTAAACTGTTGTTTGTTTCTTTGTTTTGTTTCTTTGTTTGTTTGTTTGTTTGTTTGTTTGTTTGTTTGTTTGCTTGTTTTTGTCAGCATCGGATGCTTCCCTGTAAGATTGATATTTTAGTAGCCTTTTGAAGTTCCTTTGTTGAAAACTTCTATTTAAGTAGAATAGCAAACCTGAAATTGTATTTGTTGAGTCATGTTTTTGTTTAGTATGAATATCTTCCATGTCGTTCAGTCGAATATAAAACAATCTTCAGCACACAAAAAGTCAAACATGATAGAAATAGATAGAACTGTAGAATGTAGAATAAAACCTAATATATCCTAATTACCCAAACAACAAGAGCTAGCATAATTGTGATATGAAACTTGGACGTTGTATTGATGATGGCAATAAGATATTAATCGAGATAATGTTTGAATTTTGTATGGGTTTGTATTGTATGTATTTATATTGTATTTTTATAACCGATTATTGTAACTGAACCGAGGCATTTGTAAAACACCCCTGACCTACCTCCCTTGAACTCTTGAAAAGCGGCTCAGGCCGAAGAGTGTACGGTTACTTTCTGTACGTCTCCAAGGTTAAATAAAGGTTAAAAAAGAGAGAAAAAAAGCATTACATTCAAGTGGGGCTAATCATGAGTTTTGGTATTTTTTGTAATAACAAAGCAGTCTTTTATATAATTTACCTATTTTTGCATTATGGGAATCATTGCATGTAAAGATATCTTCAAATCTGTCTCTCTCCTCTGTAGGGAAAGACGACATGCAGATGTGTGAGCTGAGTCTGGATGAGACCGGCCTCACGCGCAAACGCGGAGCTGAGATCATCGCCAGGGAGTTCGAGGAACAGTGGAACCGCACCGGCGGGCGGGAGTATCTCATGCAAGCCATCCAGTCCAAACAAGCACGTCCAACGTACGCTACAGCCATGCTTCAGCAGCAGTATAAGAAGTAACCAGCACCGTTCTAAGCAACAGGGACCAATGAGAGAATATTTAACATTCAATCATTCTTAGTAGAAGTAATTTATAAGAGCTTAATGTACTTTGCAAAAAAAATTGGCTTGGAAAATGTGATAGGAATCTGTGTACTGTGAATGTTTTGGGTGTCATGTGAGAAGCCTACTATGGAAATTTCAAAGTGAACAATAATGGAAATGTGGTAATTTTTGTTGTAACGATGGTGTACGTTGTACACGTGTTTTACATAGTGTTACAGGCACATTCATGTGGTGATAGCAAAATGTGTTTTTACTTTATTGACCATTGATTCTAGTGTGGAGCAGGTCTTATGGATTACATGGAAGACAAGCATGTACATGTAGACATGTAACATTTAAAGTCATGCTAATGACACAAAAAGTCCACTATTAAAGGAGCATTATGTAACATTTTTGCACCAAAAATTGAAACATTTTGGTTGAAAAAAAATCTTAATGTGATTATAAATTACTTTTCAACATATTTGTGCAATTATCTCACATTTCTGACATTCATGGTTGGCACTTAAACAGCCGACATTGAGCAAACTCAGTTTGTGGTACCACCACAAATTACCAGAATGTAAACAAACATCGCCGACAGCTGTGTTTCCAGGTTTTGAACACACTTATAAGTCATCATATCTTGGCACCTCTCCTTTGTGAACGGCACTTATTTGCAATGGAGTAGGGTTGATTCAACTTACGTTGTAAAGAAATGACACGAAAATTGACTTTATTTTGTCTAAATGTTACATAATGCAGCTTTAAGCATGATGATTCATAGCCTTCCAGGGACATGTTTCGACCATAGAAAGAAAGGATGTTGGCTTAAGTTATTGCCGTGTTGAAGCCAAAAGTTACAAGAATAGAGTACAAGAAACTTGTGTGATATTTGTCAGTAATTAAACACTTAACAGTTACGGTAGATTCTACTGGTGGAAACTTTAGAAACATGCCTGTCATTTGGAGGTGCTCTTCCCAACAAGGGACAGTTTTTACTGCTATAGTTTTGCCTCAAGCGTGGAAATGTAAGGAAGGCTTTATATGCACTAATATTTCCTTAGAGAAGTGATGCATTGATGTGATAATTCATGTGTGATTGCTGCAATTTTTTCTCAATTTTCTAGTGAGGTTTGTTATCTGCACTATTTACGCCAGAACAATTCTGTGTAAAATGGACACGAAATAGAAGTGCAATTTAAAGAGAAAGATCTAAATGTTAAATGGAAAAAAACTATTCTTGATGTATAGATGCTACCCGTTGGTCAAGCTTTTTTATTCTTCATATTACCATAAATGCACTTAAATTCTAATATTCCCAGTGTAACTTCAGTCTGGGGAAAATGGTAACTCTCTAGTAATCTATTACGTTTATGGAGAAGCCATAGCCGGCTCTGCACTTCAAGTATGAACCAATATAAAAACTGCTAAAGAATGTGCCTTTTAACGTTTCGAGCCTGTCAACATAAGACAGAAAAGAACCTTTGTTGTAGATTGTTCACATTTTACGACTATGTAGCAGTGAGGCGAGTGTATAACAGTCTGCAGTAGTCATTTATAAGTGGTGTTGAGAACGTGCCTTTCTCAAAAAACATATCAAAGTCTGAGGCTTGTGGACACTGCATCATACAAATAGGAACTTAACCACACAGCATAAAACATAGCAACTTATTCGTAACATTAACCAAAAGTATTGAACCGATCAAGATGCCTGGATGGCTGAGAAATTATTTCAAAGATCTAATAATTGCTGAAGCAGGTCTTCAATATTGACAATATAATCTACAGAACCCACAGAAAGTGAATTTGGTTGAGGCTCTTGCATAGTCATAGATTTAGGTGTAAAATTGCCTCGTAGACCCTTTATGGGGTGTGGCATTACAGGATATATACTGGTACATGTAGGTGTGTGTGGATAAATGTGGATTCCCTGCTGATTTTATGTAGATGACCCTACAATTGTCTACTGTTGCATGAATCTGTCCAGTACAGTAGAATTCCTCAATAACACAATTACACAGATTGTCAGCAGTGCACTCAACTACGTAATTGATGTGTAGGCTCTATGCAATAGATGTAGACAATCATAATGCACTCTGTGGGCCCTGGCATTTATTATTAATGTAAGGGGACCTGCGAAAACATTCAGGGTTGGTTCCCAGAATGACTTTTCTATTTTATGGATACGACGTAGGAAAATTTAAAGTGCAAAGACTAATATAAGACCAATTAAGATTGGGGTAGGAAATTGATTATGGGTCATTTGGATTGAAGAATAGGTGTTAAGTTGAAGTCGTATTTTTTCTAGAACAGACAGAGAGGAGTGGACTTTGTCAGGCATTGCGTGCAGCAAAGTAGCACTGTGTGTATGTAGCATACTTTTAGCACTGATACAGTAACTGTTGGAATGGTCGGAAGTGGTCTTGTGCTCAGTATGAATTTTACCAAGGTACATGTAGTGGTGGATCAAGTAAGTCATAATAAATCTGTATTATGGGGCATTGCCTGGAAATTAACTGCCGCTCAGATGCAGGCATTCTATTAAGTTAACTGCTATTGAGGATTACACTTGTGCACAAATGGAAGTTTGCTTCTCTGCAATGCTGTGGTGTTAAAACGTAGCTCTTACCAAATATGGTATGTAGAAGTGGACATGCATACTCCATTCCATGCATGCAATGATGAACCACACGTTTAGGCATTTGCGTCACTGTAGGATGTAGCAACCAAGTGCTTTTACATTGTGATGCATGGAGTTTGAAACTTTAAAAAAGTAGAAAAATACACACTGGAAGACAAAGAGTGCCTGGACTCAAAAATAATGTTTTCAAACTCATTCCTATCTATAGAGTCTCTGCTGTGGGTAGCATTACATTTTAATGTGAAATAAAGAATCACTGTTACCATATAGAGGCCTTCGTTGTTTTATTAAAATAATTGCACTTTTGTTCTATGTAATTTAGTGCATTCAGTAAAGAGGTATAACGTGTGTAAAACTGAAACATGTAATGCAAATGTATAAACTGGATACATTAAATATATGTAACGTTATAGGAATGCCAAATGGGCGGGGGCGTGGCGAACCCCGTCTTGTATTAAGCTAACGAAAGGGTATGTCACCTCGTAAGGGGTGGTGTATCCTACTCTCCAAGCAGAGGTTTGGGTTTGAGGTCATTTTTGGCATGTTTTAGGCTTTTTTATCGGGGTTTCTCTTTTGCACTGAATTTTTTCAGTGCAAAAGAGAAACCCCGATAAAAAAGCCTAAAAACTTGCCAAAAATGACCTCAAACCCAAACCTCTGCTTGGAGAGTAGTATATCCCGGCCGACCAATACGGTCGACCGATGATGATGAGCAGGAGGAATGTTTGTTTTGGTCAACAGTGCTTTTCGATTGACTAACCAGCAGCCGAAACATAGCCAAAACACGCAAGTATCAAAGATCTTTACTGCCTCTCGTGTGAAATTCTTTAAACCGACGGAATTGTGTAAAAAAAAAACAGATATATGCATTCTCTTTCTACTGGACCAAAGAAAATATTTCAGGCGTTAAAAAGGCCGGTAAAACCGCAAGAGGATCACGAGCGATCGCAGGTATTAGAAACACACTTCTTCCCAGGAAGGCATAAATATTTAATGAGGATCCATGGTTATATGCCATGGAGATAGAAAACTTAGCTACCATTATGCTTATACACTGTTGATAGTCTACACTAGCCTCTACCAGGCTTCGGGAGGCGGCTGGAAAGAGTAGAAAATCGGTCAAATAGATAGATAAAATGCCCAGGGAGTTGGTCCGCTAGAGAGTACATTTTGCCACTGTTCTCTCCAGCAGACCAACTCCCTTGACATGCTATCTCTCTATTTGGTTGATTTCTACTATTTCCAGTCGCCTCCCGAAGCCTGGTAGAGGCTAGATCTCCACCAGACTCCTTTGCAGCTGCAGGACCCTCTCTGGCCGACCAACTCCTCTGGCCAATTTTATCCCCATTTTATAATAGGCCGATATTCGGCCTACATTGGACTATGCATGGTGAAGATTACACGGTTTCTAAGTTGAAACCTTCATTGGGAAATAAATACTAGTATTCAGACGCGTATATGCAGGGTTAACGTATGAAAGGAATAATATCTAATTTCATCAAATAATGAATCGTTACTTTTGAAGAAATATATTACCGGGATTCCCACTAAATCATTGAAAATTGCAGATCTGAAATTAAAAGGTATAACGTTATTAACAGTTAAATACATAACGTTACATGTATGGCTTGTATTAGTTACTATGTATCTGGAATGCACAGCTGATAATATAACCTACGTCATGGTCGACCTATTTCAAGTGTAAGCCATACGTAAATTTCACGTAGATAGCCTCAGGATGATAGATTAACTTTGCCACCTACCTAGAAATGGGGGTTTTGAGTGATGGTCTTTACCTACTTTTGTCACTTCCGTCAAGATATCTATGAATTTTGGCCTGTGTTCATTTGTTCTAATCTCCAAGCAGATCCCTCTCGGTGGCAAAAAGACAGTATCAAATTGGCCAGGCAGTATCCATTAGCCAGAGAAGCTCCGCGGCCACCGACGGTGGGGATCAGGACAAAAAAAAACGGCCATATATAAAAAGGTAACGATTATTCCCCACAACCTCTGCTTGGAGAGTACATTTGTTCGGCCTCTTGAAGTTGGAGGGGTCCACGGCTTCCCGCCCTAGTTTCGCAAAAGAACCCTTCTTTTTTTTATTGAAACACATAATGACAAGACGCGGTGGCGACACACTCAAGATACATGACTTATATTCATGTCGCCACCAGACAATACATAATAATGATAATACATACATGTACGACAAGCAAAGCACATGTACAGATTAACATATTGAAATTGAATACAATAATAAATCGATGAACAAGTGAAACTGATATATAAATGCTGACAGGATTGATCAATAAACGATGTTACAAAAAAAACGATTTGATACCAACAAAAATACCTGTACATGTTGTAAGAAAATTTGTCAAGACAAATGGGAAAATAAAATGAATTTGGTGTTAGGTTTGGGCAAAACTTTAAACAACACATGTCAGTAAAAGTATTCTGACAAATGAAATAATGAGTAAAGAGACTTTCTACACAACGAAGTCTTTTATTCATTCGACGTTTCGGTGAGAGTCGTCTGTCACCTTCTAAAAGGCAATTTTGACTGCTTCACATTGCATACTTTTTCTACCAATTGGATTGCACTTAAGTAACCAGAAAATATGGCCAAATTTCGAGGGAAGTGGGCAAATATCCACAGGACAGGTACGGCTATTTTTTTGCAAACCGAGAGACAAGCCTTGGAGATGAGAACTAGTGTAACCAGTATTTGAGACTACAGAGCGGAAACTTCTGGGAACGTGTGCTCCGACTGGCATTAGGGACGACTATTTGATAATTATTTGCTACTCATAAAGATGAGATTGACTTCACATGTAACGTTACAACTTACAAGTGAGTACATGTAATAACAAGTAACGTTACTAGCCGATGACTTAAGAAGAAAGAAGGCTTTCGAAACCTTCTTGATTCTGAAATATAACGTTAGAAAACAACGTTAGTATACGCTCGAACTACTCGAAGCAGTTTTGGTATCTACTAATGTTAGTATCTAAATGTGATCAAATAGACTTTCTCACTGTGCAAACTTGGTGGCAAAATGTTGTAAAGAGGTTATTGTGATGTTTCAGTGCAAGCAATGTCTACATTGCTGTACTGGACAAAGCCTGTAGTCTACTGAAGTTACGGTCACTTCGTCGTACGTATAGTGTTACTGTTTCGGCACGAATAAAGAAGCTGCATGTTTACAAGCCAAACTGTAACCGTTCTAGGATGACCAACTATTCTTCTGGGGTCAGTCGAGGACACACTGGTCACAAAGGGGTCATTGTAGGTCACTATCAGTCACTCGTCAGAATCTATTCTTAACTTGTTGTTTCCTTCTTTTCCTCGATAGTTTCCGTTTTAATGTTGTGAACGTTTGTAGTCACGTTCTTTTTTTTTTGCTCCAGTGTCACTGACGAAAGGCTACCTGAAACGCCAGACCATTGAAGTGACTGTTTTTTCACCGACATTGCAAAAGATATCACGGTTAACGTTGAGTTATCATTTTTGATCCACCAAAAATTTCGCCGTTATGAGCACCCCGGCGTTGAGGACGACACTATTTTTAGCACATGGTAATATTTTGGTTTATATTGCTTGCCACTAAGTTGTTAAAATATAACGTGACGTTAGAAAACAGATTTCTACATGGCAGAGACGGAAAGCGTTACGATCTTGCACCCAACATCTGCTTGGAGACTGCGTGTTGTTCGTCTGTCGATTTCACCGCTTGTTGGTTTTCGCGGGAGAATTCATTTCCGATGACATCATCGGCGCGCGGCCTGTGATTGGTCAGTTTTGGAGGTGTGTACCTGACGTTTCCGATCTAATTTGCGTTGCCAATGAGGTAGGTAGATTTGGAGACGGGGAGGTCTGTACGTGTACTGGCACAGAAATCGTCATTTTCGCACGGATTCCTCCCGAGTTCGGATCAGAATGGTGATTGTCTGTGTCTGAGAACACCTTCCAGACGACAGGACATCGTTAGTTCGGATCCCGAGGGCGAGACGCCGAAGAAATCTGGCCGTTATCTGCGCGCGGGCTCGCTGTGTGGAAATTCACTGGCGGCTGGTGGACTGACCCTTGACCTGCCAAGTCTCTTCCGCTGTCCTGTTACCCGGAGAAACCCTGAACTTGCTCGGACGATTTCCCCCGACTTTACACGCCAGATTTGTCACCAAACACTGCCTACCCACGATCACATCGATTCTGACCGGTTCACGGACTCGCTCGACGCCGCATTAGTTGGTACGTGCCCTCAGTGTTCCGTTAATATCTCGTCTGGTCGTCAAGTCCGCACACTACTCAAAATGTCATTCCAATCTGACAGGTGTCCTAACCGACGACATGTAACATTAAGCGACGAGCGATCCGGAAGGTATAATCTTGGGAGCATGAAGCAATAAATTCACGTCCACAGTAGTACCGGATCCTCAGTCACGACTCTTTAATATGCATGACATGCCAGATATTTTGTTGCTGTGTTATAGCTCTGCTCTAGCCGCCCTCCCCCTTTCGCCAAAAAGGTGCAATCTGTAACGTTGTCTCCCATCGACCGTTTATCGACTGTTTTTTAACGATCGCGCCATGAAATGGGTATTTCTATTCACCGCACATTGCAGATGAGGCGTTTCACGCCACTCACATGACATGTGTCCCCACTCTTCTGTGGATTAAAGTTTGTCAACTCACGGTGTTTGCCATGACCTGGACCGTATCAAAGCTGCACATGTGTTACGGCATTGGGTCTGGTGTGGAATTACTAATGCCTGAATATAGCGGATGCTAATAGTAATACAGAGCCCTGGTAAATCCGTATACAGATAAATAGGATTATATGTTGGTTGGTTGATTGAGATTTTCCATGTCTGTTTTTACAGTGCTGAAAAGGCACTGATAGAGGAACCTGGTATCCATACCTTTTGATACTGTAAATCAGTTGTAATTTTTGTGGTAGCAAAAGTTTTTTGTCTTAGAAAAATGGATATATTCTGGGAACTAAGCGTTCACGGTGGTGGCATATGCTGATAAGTTTGCAGTACAGAAGCTGACCGCGAATATAAAAGTATCATGAATAAATCCTGATTTACCGTAGCTGCTGAGTCTCTTTCCTTTTTTCCAGTAATAGCAGAGAGGGCGAAAGAGACTTGGCAGCTAAAAGGGGTTTGGAAACCAGGCTACAGAAAGGGCAGATAGGGGATAGGCCAAGGGTATGGTTATGTAATGTATGGCCAATATTAGCTTGCTCATGATAATGGCATTTCCTGTTGTACGTGCTAGGGAGTCCCTAGCCCTATTTCTGCTGAATGTACAGAAAGGAAGGTTTGGGCTCTAGGGTCTAATTTTTTTTGGACATGATATGGTAAAAAAGAAAAAAAACTCACAAAGTTGTCCTGCTAGTATTTTGCAGTGTTTTGCTATTTTAAGAATTTAGAAAATTGATTCTGTACATAGCTTAAGTTTTCCACATCAAACTAATCAATTATCCAACCAGTCAACCAACCAAATAACCAACCAGTAGATACTGTTAAAAGCATAACCTCCTTACCAAGCCTTGGTAAGAGACATCTGGAAGTTCTATCAGGAACAGATGCTTGTGTTATAATGAATCTGATGCTATCGGTTTCTGTGGTCTCTTGCAGGTTAGCTGGGGACGAGCAGTTGGCAGGGGGAATCGCGGGCACCGTGTCCATTTTGCCGTTAGTGGTTTACGCTGCCCGTACATGGCCGGATCGGAGACGGAGGCTGACCCCATCTTTCTTAGTAAGGATTGCTTGCGGACCTTTTCCGACCTGTCGTCGCGTGACCACCTGACCCGTGGTTTGGCTATGGACAGTGTGGCGTCCATGTACGAGAATTGGATCAAGCGACACCACCAGCCACCGGCCGAATCCACCCCCTCCCCTCCGGACCACGTTCACGAAAATGGCGAGATTTCTCAATACTCGCGCCACCTGACTCAGCACCTATCCTCGCTCATAAGACTCGCCACTCAGTGTCCGTTCCACGATGTCCGCGACCGAGCAAACGAGATTCTGGAATGCGTCAAGGTGCGTGAACCCATTAAACCAGTTTTAAAAGTAGGTCATAATATAGGATATCTCAAGGGTATAATATAAAATTAGCATGTCTTGTCCTATATACACCTGCAACTGTATAGATAATAGAGCATGTAAATGACAAAGTTTAAATTACAAGAGTTAAGACATGCTTGGTTTAAGGGAAGTGTCTCTACTGGTCAGTGAAGTGGTCAGATAAGTACACTGGCCGGTCAGCTGGTCAGGCCACATCCTCATTTCCGACTGTCTCTTTGATGAACATCCTCTTCCTCATAAGATCCTGGAAGCTGATTTCCCTTCCTGAAAAAAATTCTTCATCAAGAAAAAGAAAACAATTTTTCAGTCATTTGAGATCAAAGGTAGAACTAGAAGTACAACACACAGTGAAAATGATCACCAAAAATTGTCAAGCCAATATGTAGAATAGGTGCCAAGTCCTGCTCTCATATTGGCATGATAATGTTGGAGAATGGAGATACTTGAGTGTGGTCAGAAAATATTATTACTTAGCATCCTCATAGCTTCTTATTTCAGAGAAGGCAGTGTGCCTCCAGTTACAAGACTTCCTTCTATACTAGTACTTGAGTGTAGCTCGTAGCTACTTATTTGCATTGCTGATTTGGAATGGAGAACCCAAGGAATACCTCAGTACACTCAGAACACAGTAGAGCTATTCACTCATCATTTGAATTAGAAAAGACCTTGACTCAAATTAGATGTTTGCAGCTGTATATTTCTCATATACATTTCTGTAGGGCATGGCAATGGAACAAGGTGTGACTCTGGCTGTTTGGCCCAAAAAAAATATGTGAATGGAAAATTCAATATTTATCTGGCCTTTATGTTTTATTTATTTATCAGTTTCATTGATAAGCAGCCTAGGCAACCCAACTAGCAACAAAATAGTTTATGTAGATGAGCTGTTACCAACTTATATACATGTACATAGGATAGTGTTGTTCAGAAAGTCATTTGGAAATTATAGGGCTAAGATCTTATCAAGCAGGTGTTTTGGATAGAGTCAAGATGTTTCCTCCAGATTTCAGCAAATGGTTGGAATGGGGGAGGGAGCTACTGTTTTTTTTACCTGGAATTTTAGCATTTATAAAGTTGTATTTTGTTTGCTATCAGACATGTTTCATGCATCTTGCACAGAGAAAGAATTGGATGCAATAAGTTACTATAATAACTACCAGAGTGGAATTTTATTTACCTCCCTCTGGCATGATGGAATTTTCCACTAGGATCACAGAGGGATCACGTTACATCAGGGTGTTGTGCAAGTGATCCTGTGAGGAAGTGTAAACAACCTGATTGACTGGAGGTAAACAGATATTGTGTGGCCTGATCGGGTGAGGCGCCTTTATTGGATGACCATGCAGATATCTTGACACTTGATTGGAGTCAAACATAGCAGTGCTACACTTAGTCAAGGTTTGGTTGTATCATGTTCAATTCAATCCAGTTGTTAATGTTTGGTAAAGAGGAGAAACATCTAAGGAAAAATTAAGGAGAGTGTACACAGATTGCAAACAGGGTTTCATCTCCAAGTAGCCAGAAGGAATTTCACAGCTCAAAAGTTAGACATGGCCCCAAATTAGCCAGTACATACACTTTTATGTATTTTACAGGTACAATGTCTCTTCTCTGCAATACTTTTTATGTGTTAAGATTCTTAATTAGATGTTGTTTATTTTCAGTATGTTTGCCATAAGTGTTTGATCAGGGCTCGAAATACCCGGTGGCGCACTGGCGCGGCGCCACCTGATTTTGCTTGGCGCCACTTATTCCTAAACTCCCCTAAACTCAGGTGGCGCAGCGCGCCACCTATAATTTGCGTGGATCGAGCCGCTAATCGCATGGATCGGGCCCCATTGTCGGCACAATCTTGTGAATTGACGATGAATTGTCGATCTCGCCATGACGCCACAAAGAAAACGTTCTCATTGGTAGAAAATCAGACACCTCGCTGGCGTTTCACAACACAATTTTCATGTAAACAACTCCGACTGTCCTTGTTTACATGCAAAGCGCGCCGATACAAAATCCTGCCGGCCGGCCGCCCGACCGCATGCGACGCTAAGTTTTCGGCAGCTCGGCGGAAAAATAATCCATCCCCAGAAGAAATGTTACGCATGAAAATAACAACTACAACTTGCTTTCCTCGTTATATGAGTTTTTGAGGCCGTAAAATGTTTAAAACGGTTGAAATTTGCTCGAAAAAACGGCTCGAAAATCAGCGGCGAGACTGACAAAATGGCCGACGGTGTTTCACAATAACAGTGGTCAAAGGTCAAGATAGCACCCAAATGTACAAGATACATGTATTAAGTACATATTACAATGTGCTAAAACGAAACTTTAAAGGTATGAAAAATATTTTTTGGGCTACAACTGAAATAAAAATTCACTTGTATTTTAATAAGATTAATTTTCAAACATTACTGAGAAATTTCCCGAATTTATTGGTTTCTTGTGTTAGTGCGGTTGGATGCTGTGATTGTGAAGTCCCTAATACATGTGTACTAGATTGGGAGAATCAGATGAGATATTAGAAATTACCACGCTTAGTACCGCGACCCGAGTGTCTCTCAAAAATTGTTTTTGAGTGGAGTATAGACATGATCACATTTTTATTTGTTGAGCTGTGTCAATATGTGATTTGTTTGGGAAATAGGATTTGGTTTAGTTTTTAATATATCAATGTCAGTAACACCTTTGGGAATATTTGCTCCAAGTTCACTTGTTGAACTTGTGGAAGCACCGTTGGCCCCCTGTTAGGGGTCATCCGGGGAACCTATGCCCAATTTTTTTTTAAAATCAAGGGAACTAATACCATTTTTTATTAGATTTTGAAGTATTTGTCCGGGGGGTATGTTTATTCCGGGGGTATGTTTATTTGGCAGATGAGAGTAACATTATCCTTGCGCAAACGAAGAACATGGCGCACGTAACACCACCCGCATAAGTGTGCTGCCATGTAGAGGCGTGGCATTCCCACGGCGGCAGCCCTGTGATGAAGTGATGTAAAGGTGGCATTCTTTATTAAAACATTGTTGTTTGAGAGCTTTTGTGTTCTTTACATTTATTTTATAACATAAAACTTAAGTAGTTAACTAGAAGAAAACGTAATAGATATAAGTAGCAGATTTGAAGAAAATGATAACTTGGAAGTGTTGCCACTTGAATACTGATGGCGCCACCTGGCTTTTGACTCAGGTGGCAACATGCGCCACCTGGCTGAAAAAAGTATTTCGAGCCCTGTTGATGATGATGAAACATTGTCTGCCACATTTTAGCACCTAACATGTAATTAGAACAGCTTTTAAGTGTCTGTATCTGTCTATGCAAGTAGGTCATTCTTTTCACTGATGCTCTTTTGATAACTGGAGATAAAAGGAAAACACTATGAAAATGCAAAACCAACAGCTCCAGATCTGCTAACAATTTTATATGATTTTAGACCTTTTGTATTCAGCAATATTGAATAACGTTACAATAATAAATCAAAATTGCAGAGAAACATTACTGTCAGCCTGACTGGGTGTTACCTACGATAGGAAGACTAGAAATGTTGAGGTCATGAAAGGAATTTGCTTTGGCTATAAATATTATGAAAACAAACAAGCTTAAATGTGATATGTGAGGGTCTTGTAGAATTTTGTCACAATTTTCCAAGCAGTGGTGGTAGTATGAAGAATTTGAAGAAAGAAGAGCCTGCTCAGAAGAAGTAGTGGACTTTGCTTGGGGGTTCACCTGTTGTTCAACTCCAGTGATCGTTCCGTACCAGAGAAAACAATATTGTAGTGTGAAACCTTACCAATTATCACCCCTGGAAGTCTTTTGTCCTGGCTGACAATAATTACAGGATAATGACATCCTGCCAAGTCAGTATTGCTTAGTCATGTTTGCAAGTCTTTCACACATAGGTACTATCCCTCAGGGTAGCACTGGACAAGGGAGGTCACTAATTTTCTATTGTTAAATACAATGATTTGTAGTTGCAGTTTATGAGCTAAACTTGGAAAAGAGTTGTGGCCAAAAGCAAATTCACTTATTCAGGCAGCAAATTTAATAGAATTGATTCAGTTGTGTTATTTTAGTCTAATTTATAAATGGGTATCTTTACTATCTTACTGAATTTCATATATAAACAGTGAGCCTTACTGGAGTACATGTTCAAATGGCATTATATAATGAAGCTTGATAGTAATGGTATTGAGTCTATAGCTATCAACAGCTGTAAGCAACTTGCATGAAAAAAGCTAACTGGCAAGGACAGTAACTTGTGGAATGAATACTTTACATGCCCTACCCTGTTTGTACATGAACTTAACATTTGGGTTTGGCTCGAGCAAGTTTCTCTCTTATCTCTTTGGCTCAAGTTAAACTGACACTTTGGTGTATTTAAAGACTTGTATTTATAGGTTCTTCAGAGTCAATCAGTGACATGAACAAGCATGTTTCCGATGCTCTGATGCAATCCTTCCATGTCCAGTCCCACATGATGCAACCCTGCCTCCAGGCTAGATGTAGATGATGCAACCTTCCCTGCCCTCTACACCAAAGTGGACACCAAAAAAGTGTTTTGTTCAATTGTGCAACATGTTAAACACTTTGTAGCTGCATTTACTGTGAGAAAGAAGCCTCAAGACTAGACAGACCAAAATATTAAAGTTAGAGGGTACTGTCACATTGTCTGCTGTTTAGTTTTGTCTTGAAACAACCCTTCCCCCCAGTCTTTCTAGGTCAGAGTCCTTATCAACAGATTTATCAGTATAAATAGCTTGATGTCTTAAACCATGATACAATCTCTCTACTGTTAAATGCGATAAGCTGAAGCTTATCATAGGCTGTAAGATATGATAGTATTCTTGATTTCCTGTTGTCAGACTAAGAGAATGTTTCATAACCCCATACCAATTCTATTAGTGGTAGCATAGTGCTGTACCCTTTTAGTATGTTGTAATAGTCATTAGAATTGCTTTATG